AACGATGCCACCCCCAGCTCTAAACGGAGTGAAGTCCAGCTCTGAAATGTCTGCGGCCATCGCCATGATTCTAAGCGCCCAAACGTACTCTGCCAGCAAGGATTCGATGCGGAAATGCGTTTGATTCAGCGACTCGGACTTCGAAAATCGGATTCCGTCGGAAAGGTGCAGCGCGGACGAACGGAATGATTGCGAATGTCATTCGTGCATGTCTTTGCTCGAGAAATGCACGAGGCACAAATCACGCGACGTAATACTCTAAGTGGCTGTCCACGACTCTTACGCTACTAATGCGGCTTTCTTAATGCACTCTCCAAAGAACTCTGCGTAACTGCATGCCAGCTCTTTGCATCAGATCCAATGCACTTCTACCAAGACAGCGGTAGACTCAAACAGCCACAGAAACAATGGCGGCAACGGTAAGGTAAACGAGCTGCGCAACCACTCTGTGCTGCAACGGAACACGGCATGGCCGAATCCGGCAGGGACAGCACGACCAACGAACTCTTAGAAGAAGTCCGACTAGCATGCAGCGCAGCAGCCTTCGTGCGCCTGCATCCTGTGATATATGCCAGCCTGCAGCAACGCGAGCAGCTCTTCAAGATGGGCGCACGTAGAGAGTGCGTGGATAGCGGATTCCGCAACAGAACGGAGCTGCGCAAATTCATAGCGGACACGCGTGCCCATAATGAATATTTTGAGACCGGATATACACCAGGAGTCCTCATTGCTGATGGTACGATTTTGCACATGGTTTTTTGAACGCAAACAAACACGCAAATTAGTTCCCCGAGTTTCTCGTTCCTGACAGTGTTGTGCCGCAAGCAGCACTCCCTTCTTTCGAATCCGTCGAAATTCTTCTCTGCCTGCCAGCTTTGTACTTGTCCTACTTGCCCATCTCTTTTCAAACATTCAATCAAACAGCTGCGTTACTTGCAAAGTTGGTAGTAATCCGTCCACATATTTTACTTGATCTGCACCTTCGTTTTGCTGGCGAAAAACGCCCCTTTACTGTCTATGCAGGCTTGCTAAACGAAGTGCTTCTCACATGGTATCCAGGGGGTTACAATTGCGGACTGCTGCTGGAACAAGAGTACGAGATCCGCAGTGACGGCTGCGACATTCCGTTCTGGCTCTTGCGAGAACTGCTCGATTTCTACGGCTTCACCGGCAAGCAGCTTCGGCGCATTCACTCCCGTTCACAAGTAAGTTTTCTACAACCTGCAGAACAATTTGCAAGTAACAGCAGCTGTTCGTTCATCAGACGCGCAGACAAAAAAGAATGACTAAGTCATTCTCCGAAGTCCGCTCACAGAATTAAAAGCTTAGAGTTCCAACGGATCCGCTCGTTTCGCTGTCCTGTCCGGATCTCCTTCGAGACATTTCCCGTCCTCAAATTCTGTTTAAGGTTCCGTCCAGAAGCGTGCATCATTCCGCTCATTCCGCTGATCACATTCTTCAGATTCCGCTCACAGAATGAAAAGCTTAGAGCTCCAGTATATAAGCCAAAACGTGAGGGTCCGCTCGTTCTGCTGTCCTGTCCCGGCGGAATGCCTTCGAGACATTTCCTGTCCTCAACCTCTGTTTAAGGTTCCGTCCAAAAGCGTGCATCAATCCGCTCGTTTCGCTGATCTCATTCTCCAGGTTCTGCTCACAAAATCAAAAGCTCTAAAACCAAAACATACGAATCCGCTCATTCTGCTGTCCTGTCCGGAATTCCTTTAGTTTATCAATCTCCTGTACATCAAGCCGCTCGTTCTGCTGATCTATCCGGAATCCGCTCAGTCCGCTGCCGCCCTTACACAATTCGCCTTCCGCACCCTCCGCACCACCTCAGGGTCCGCTCAAGCTGCCGTATCTTTCTCTGCATGTGCAGGCAGAAGACATCTACCACGCTCTCCGCGCACTGCCGGACTACTCGCCAAGCGCCATCCTGGAGCGCCGACAAGCACGCCACCTCGCCTGGAGCCGTGAACAAGATGAAGTCAAAGAGCGCATCAGAGTAGCCAACGAGCGTCAGACCAAGGCCATCGTTACACTGATCGAACGTATCAAGAATACGTAAATTAGAAAAAAAGAGAGAGCAAGAACAGCCGGGCCATAGAAAACTAGATAAAATTCCGATACCCGTCTATTCATATGTGTATCAATAGCACATGACTCACCATGAAACCCATCATGCTGCCATCACACATCCAGAACCATGAATATGATATCAAGCAGAGGCAAGCCCTCGCCGTCACCCTGACGGCGGTCCATGTTTACTTCGTAAATAGGCAAGCCAATATCCGGCCCAAATGAAATTGTTGCATGCACTTTGATCCATGAACTTAGCCGATTGCGTGCCAGCTTGAGTGACTGCAACTCATTAGCTGTAGTTATGCATGACCGGCACGCGCCGCCTGTACACATGCGTATATTGGCTTGCCTCTTTTTTAGGGAAGAGTCATTTTGAAGTGGTACCCCCCGTAGTAACTGTTGA